ACAGTTCAATACGGACAAAAAAAAAAAAAAAAACCACACATATATGCAATAGGGATAGAAAAGTTCAGGGGGGTATGAAACCAAGCAAAGGTAGAATCGCAGAAGCCAAAACAAATCTTTCTTCGGAGAGGAATTTTATCTAGCAGTGTCGATAAATTCAATACATTTCTAAGGACTAAAAACTAACCGCTACTAAAAATAAAAAGGTCATTTCATAATGCTGAACAATTCACAATACTCCTAAATGTGTACAGTCAGCCTTCCACATCTATAAATAAAGGTGGATTACAGACATAATTAGGCCTACAATGGTGGTGTCTATAAGAATGTGTATGTACTGCTAGTTTTAACATGGGCACAGGATTTGCATTGTATAAGGTTATAAGAATGTGGGAATTTTTATGAATTATAACAGAGCACATGTGCAGGGTACATGATAATACTGTGTCATCTTATATGTACAACTTGAACATCCATGGATTTTGGTATTTGCAGGGGGTCCTAAGAACCAATGTCCTGTAGATACCAAGCAGTAAAAAAATAGCTCTTGATGTCCCCACCCCAAACACTTTTTTATTTTTGTATATGTTTGCAATGCATGTTTATATTCCTTGTGTGGCATTTATGCATGTACTTAACACATTTTAATTTCTTTTTTCATCTCCTTCCCACCCCACTCACCTTCCTCCCTTCATCTCTTGGTCTCCTTCCTATTTGAGAAAGAGCTATCTCACTATTTCCTATTACCTATCTTTTATTTTGTTCTTTATTTATAGTGTGGGTTTCTCACATAAGAAAAACTACGCAGTATTTAAGCTAGTATGTCTGATTTATTTCACTTAAGATTTTTTCTTAATTGTCCATTAAACAACCCCTAAAAGTAGGGATACCAAAGCTCAAAGGCTAAATAACATACACAAAGTCATACAGCTAGTAGGTGGCAAAGCTGTCATTAGAACCAAGCTGTCCCACATGCAACTACATGCAATAAAGAATAGACACTAATGGAAAGACCTCATGACTTCTCCAGTTCCTGTGCAGGCCGATGTTTGTTTTTCTAGCTACAGTTGTTATTTGTGGGTCATGAAATCCATTTAGTGGATTAGATCACCATTCTCTTTTTTAAAGTAATGGAGAGGAGTGAAGAAAAGTGGAAGAAAATGGAAAGGGAAAGATCAGAGTTCATTATGTTTAGAAACATTAAACACTGGTTACAAAAACTTTAGTTTCAACTGAGAAACAGTTTGAAGAGTTTTGTGGAACAAACAGTACAATAAAATGTTACTCCTTATTGTCAGGTCTACACACAAACACAAACACACACACACACACACACACACACACACACACACACACGTATTTTAAAACCAGTGCTACAGGCCAGAGAGGGATCATAGTAATGTTGGCTGTAGTATAACAAAAGAGGAAATGAAGATCAGTAGGAGGATGGTACTGTGGGCAAATAATTATAAGGGATAAGGGAGAAAAGACAAGTCAAAAACAACTCGAATTCCAAACCACTCAGTGAATGCCTGGATGACAGGAGGTCCGTCTTCCATGTCTTCCAACCTGTCTTGTCAAACTTGTTTCCTTTCTTTTCACCCTCCTTCTTGCCAATCTTTTTGCCTCTGAGGAAAACCTTCTCAATCCAGGCATAAACAATGGATGATCATAAACTAAGGGATGGCAGATATGCTATTCAGCAGAAAATTCAGGTATTTATAGAACACTGCTTAAAATCTACTAACTCTGCTTAGGGATCCCACCATTCCTGTAAGACTGTAGTAATCCTTCATTCCTAAATGACTCTGCTCTCTGAAATTCCATTCAATAACTCAAGAAATAATTCAAACCTGAAGCATTTCTGCAGGCCTTTAACAAAACAACTTAAAGAGATGGGCTTTTAACATTAATGCTTCCCATGATATTTCTATTTGATGTTTCTAAATACTGTTATTCAAATGTATGTTTACAGCAGAACTAGTCTTATGTTCCTTCTCTCAAGTTTTGCCCAAAAATGGCTGTTCACATTAAGAAACTCCAAATTAAAAGCCTACATGGGATGTATATGCTGTGGGGGTGGCAAACTTTAATTAGAAAACATACTGCCAGAACATATCACAGCATCAGTGGCAAATGCTTGTCTGAGCTCTAAAGCACCAGAAATAGTTTAAAGAATCCTCAAAATATCCAGCTACCCTTTCCCTTCTGACGGCTCTGCATTGATCTATAACACACATCCCCTGCAAGGCTCAGTTGCAAGTGTGTCACCCTACCTCTCTCTATATACAGTAGCAAACATCTGTAGAAGGGGTGAAAAGGGACAGAACTAAAGCCACACTTCAACATACTTCAGTTTAATGACACTCACTAATGCCACATGAGGAAGGGAGCAAAGGTATCATTCGCCCTGCTTTGTAAGAGGCCAATCAAATGATTGAACTGTCAAGGTCACAAAGCTCAGTCATCATGAAATTCGGTGTTTAACAAGAGTCTTCTGATTCCAGATCCAAAGCTTTTTCCACACACTGCATCGGTCAACAATGAGTATGATTCTATTTTGGTATCTCCTGTTCAAGACAGCCAGGCTTATTCTCAGACCTCTGTGACAATGGATCCAGTTACCTAAACTAGACTATCCACTGATCCTTCTGTGACAAACTTCTGGTCTACTCAGGAGACAAGCTGAAATACAGATCTGATCAGAACAGCAAAAATGAGGTAATTAGCGGGTCGGTCAGTGAGTTCGTATGGAGAGGGGCCAGGCAATAGTCCCCAAACACATAATGGTAAAAAGACTAGCAGGAAATAAATAATAAAATAAAATAAAAGACTGGCAGGAAGTGAACAACAACAAAGAATCAGAAGGCTTATTATGTCTTAGACAACATGCCAGACAATCAGAGATTTAGTAACACATCATTTTTGTCTATGAAAGTTTTTTGAGAAAAACAAATGATGTAGTGCTAAAAACATAAACTAGGCGCCCAAAATTTTGACTTTACCAAGGCAAAGATAAAGACAGAAGTAAGGAATGGCAAAGAATAACACCTTAATGTAGGAAGAACCCACCTAAGATAGAGTAAGTTGGTTTGTGGAATGGCCTATTAAAGCCACTCCATGACCATTTCTAAAATTTAGGCAAAGATTGTGGGTTGACAGGGTGCAAGGCCAGTCTTGTAATAAAATTAAGGGCAGTGTCTGAAAAAGAAAAACATAGTGGCCTAAAATATAAATCGACTTCAAAAATGTAATATAGAATAGTATCTAGTGATAACAAACCATGAAGTACATGCAGCACTGCGGATGAACTTTGAAAACATTTTGCTACATGAAAGAAGCCTGTCACAGAAGACTAGTATTACATGGCTCCATTTATATGCAAAAGCCAAAAATATGAAAATCTATAGGATATAAATAGGTGGTTTCCCAGAGCTGGGCAAGCGGAGGAAAATTGGGAATATCTGTCTACAAGTATGAGCTTTCTGTGCAGGGTGATGAAAGGTTCTAAAATTAACTGTAGTGATGGATGGACAGCTTTTGTGAATATACTCAGAACTATCACTATATACACTTTTAATGGTATGGATGCTACATGTGTAATACTTCAATAAAGCTGTTGTTAACACACCATTGTACAGTCTCATAAAAATCCTCAAACTTAAAAATTGCACCTGGCTTTTTGTTGGCTCTAAGAAGTCATTCAAATGCTAGGTTAAATCAGCACAGTGTGTATATGGGGCTTAAGAGCTATGTGGAATGAGACTGAAGCTACAGCCACCCTACTCGCCAGCTAGGCGTACTTGGGCAAACTTCTTTCCTACCTCAGCCTCTGCACCCTCAGGTCTAAAATAAAAGCTAAATCTATCTTGCAAGGTAAGAAATAATTATGTGATCTAAGTATTCCACATTGCTAACATTTTCTAAAGACCTATTTGGGTCATATACCACACAATTCTTTAGTCAACAATAGACTCCATGTACAATACCACACAGTCCAAGTACACAGCAGGCTTCACCACCAAAGTTGTGGTACACTCAATGTGCACACGAAGATTAAATCATCTAACAGTGCACTTCGCAAAATGTATCCCTGTTGTTAAGCAACACATGACTATATACCAAAAACATCAGCATATCAACATCTAATTACATTTTAAGTCATTCATGTCAAGACCTATATCTCATTCCTGTTTGCCGATCCACTTTACATAAATTCAGCATTTTGAATATCAATGATATGAAATATTTTGAATGTTTACCATGTTCTAGGGACTCTGCTTCATTCTTAACATATGATTACGGTGAATTCAAAACCTTGTTAGTGGAGTGCCACATTTTTCCTCTGTATTGTGCTTACAGACTGTTGATGTTACTCTTCATTTGGGCTTTGTTTTTGTTGTTATTGTTATTCTTTTACCCTTACCATGAGTTAAATCCAAAACACCTTTCTCAGAAAAATTTAATTTTAATATGAAGGATCTATATTTGCCAAGTACTTGAAATGGTGTTATATATAGTATTAATTACTTATGAAAAATTCTATTTTTAGCAACATGAAAAAGCTACATAATAAGGCATGCCTAGTTCTCTCATTATTAAACAAAATTTCTGAAATATATGCATAATTTTAGCCTGGTTTACTTTAATTAGCAACTACGTATTTCTGAAATGCCAACATATCTTTAGCTTTTTTTCCCTGCCTTTTTTTTGAAGTATGTAATTCATCCCCAAAGAAAGAGAGCTGATTTGAAATGATTCGAAGTTGAGTAACAATTTGTAATGAAACAAATTTTTTAAATATATTGACTATTCCTTTTTACAACTTAAAAGCAACAATTTATCATATTTGGCCAGTTTTACCTCTTATTTTAGTATTATAAAAACAGTACATTTCCAATATACACAATTTTTAGCCATTGCAAAGGTGTTACCACAGCATACCATTCACACTTTATGGTTAAAATTCATAACAAAGAATATGAGGAGGATAACCTTACCATATCATCTGTCAATGTCTTAATATTTAAATGCTGCAAATGAAAAAAAATCAATCAGTAATTTATAACAGCTTTTTAAAATTTTAGCTAATGGAATATATTCAAAATTCTACAATGCTAACTTGAAGATAATTAAATTCTTGACAGCCTAATAAAAATGCATTATATATTGTTTTAATCTCTTTCTCAAAAAGACGGACAAAAGTTACCATGTATGTTGTAATTTCAAATACTAAAATGTTTTGACTATCAGAGTCTTACAAACTAGACATGCAGTGGATTACAATAAATATACTCTCCCTAATAGTTATATTAATTGGCATAAAATACCCAGAGTTGGAACACTACTGACATATTTAAATATAATTCTCATAAACTGCTTCATAAGAAAGTAAAACTTTAAATTTATCTTTAGTATGCAATATAATAGATAATAAAGCACTTTGCTGACTTAATTGACTTAATTCTAATAATGAAGAATGTACTGGGATGACTATTTGCATCTTTAACATCAATCTGATTTATCACCAGAGGTGACAGTAGATACTTCAATTTCATTGCCAACTTATTTGAGAACCCTTTTGCTGATTTCCTTGCTAGACAAACATAAGGCCACTTCAAAAAGTGAATAAATTAGTTTCCTGCAATGCACAGATCAAAAGAAAAAAATTATGGGAAAAAACAGAAATCCATTTTATAAACCCTAGAACGGGGAAAGATTTTGTATTCAAATAACTATAATCTATTACCAATTCTCATTCCTCTTGTGCCTTGGAGAATTGTATCTTTCAAAGACCAGAGAAAAAGTCAACCATTTTCTAAGTAGGAAATCAGATCAATTCTCTTGTTATTATAAAAGAAGATTAGTGACAATCCTTACCTAGTAGAGTAAGTGATGCAGTTAAATTTGGCATACTGAAGGATATCTTTACCCCTTTGGGGGATGGGACAGTACTACAGATTAAACCCTGAGATGGAGCACATTCAGGACACACTCTACCCCGAAGCTACCCTCCCTGCTGAAGTATGTCTTTATATTCACAACTAACTCGGTAATAATCCCTATTAAAAATTCATAGTTTACATCACTATTCCAGATTTTCTTATTTCACCAAAAGTTCTTTCTTCTTATACAAAGGAAAAAAAGTAACTGGCAGAATGTAAAATGAACCTTGTATAAGCCAAAAATTGTACTCAAATTAACAGTTATTACTAGTCACCCTACTAGGTTCCAGATTAAATTACCATATAATTACAACCACCTTATTTGACCCAAGAATAAGGAAGTAATAACACTGGATAAACTAAGTTAATGTCTAGTGCTAAAATATACAACTTGCTTTTTAGCGATATCATTTTCAGCCTCTGAAGTTAGTAAGTATGCACAGTTGTCCTTAACAATGAATGTGATCCTGAGCAACACTGTTAAAATTTTTAAGACGGTTAGAGCCAGCATCATCCCAGACATGTCTGACCACAATTAAACCAAAACTACACATCTCTGAAATGTGATGGGGAGGAGCAAGGGAAAAGCCTCTGTGGGGTTCTGTTGCCTGGAGGATTCCTGCCCATTGCATCTGGTTACCTACATCTCTTGATCATCATCTAGGAAGGGAGGTCATTACCATCCCCAATACAACACATACCGCTGCCAAAAGGGGTCATGTCCAAGGTCCTGCCACAGAAGGAAAGTAGTCTAGCTCTAACAACAGCATGTGAAGTGGTCTAACACTTCCAAGTAAAGCCAAAGAAATCAAGTATAAAGCTAAAATCCCATTTAGAAAAGTATGCTACAACAAACTGAAAACATCTACTTGCACAAATGAAATAATTCCCAAAGACCAATGTGGACTGGTTCAGGGAAATGCCATGAAAATGATGGAAGAGGAGGGAGAAATGGAAGAAGGAGAAGGGAAAGAATAGATAATATAAAGAGAAATGAGACTAGATATACACATGCAAGGTCTATCATTTAAAAACTGCAAAGAAGGTACAGAAAGCGATGTAATAGGTATAAATGTAGGAAGTGAAAGTTACATGAAAGAAAATCCAGAAAATGGAAACATCCAAAAAAACACTTATCTATCTTCAATGGTCTAACATTGAACAGCCTTTGAAATGTGAGTTGTAATCACATCCTTCAAACAGTCACTCTTATGTAAATATATGAGGATATCTTTTTTGTCACAGTTGTTGGGGTTTTTTTTTTTTTTTTTTTTTTTTTTTGCTTCTTCAAATTTTTAAACTGCCTCACTTCAAATCTTCTAGTGGGATTCAATCAATTTACTACAGATTTGATCTGTTTTGTAAGCCAACATTAGTACATACAAGCCCATTTGTAATTCGCACACAGTAATTCACAAAAGAACAGAATTATATGCAGGAATGGCAAACAGAAAAAAAAAACACAAAACCCAAAAGAATGTAAGTATGAAAAATATAACAGAGTCTGAAGAAACAAATCAAGAAGCTAAGGTCAAGTTCATTATCCCGTGTCTTCTGGAAAACACCTGCCTATCGATTCTCACCAACAGCAAAAGCAGCCAAGAGGACAGGACATGACAGCATATTCAAGGGTCCATGACAGGAATGAACGTACTGCCACAGGGTATGCAGTGATCTGAGAAATTTTTCTATACCAAAACAATAAAGTCAGAAGAGGTTCACTTGAAGATTCAGCTTTCTAAAGAACAAAGACTAGATAGCTATTTGTTTACACACACAGTCTCTGAAAGAAACCAGTGAGGATGAGCTATAATTAAAAGTCTGAATAGATCTAAGCACTAGTAATTTCCCCTAAAAACTGTAGTAACTGGTAACGGTCTACTTCAAAAAACATGAAGGGCTGGACCGGCTTCAGAAGCACATACACTAAGGCTGGAACCTAGATTGCCACAGCCCCCACGCGAGGATGACGGGCAAATTCATACAATTTCCACATTTTGGGAGGAAGGGAAGATCTGGGGATGAGAGACAGGAAGGCAGAGGGGAAAGAGAGATAAAAAAGGACAAAGATGTGAACTTGTGATTGTGTGAACTTCACAGTTATATCACCTGGCCTATGATTCCATAGGTGTTAGTAGTGTTTTGTGGCACTGGGGTAGAGTAATCCTGATAATATTAAAAGCACGTAATTCTGTCCGTGCAATCACAGGTAACTGGTTTCGGTGCAGGACTAAAGGATACTTAGAGTTCTTCTCCTAAGTCAAACACTTACCCTTCTTTTTGTGGTCCTACGTTCCTCAACTTGCTATTCCTATTTTTCTCCCTAAAAAGTAAGGAGCACCACATACAGATGGGTAACAATGTTTTCTGCTAATGATAGTTCCTAGGACGAATGGTCAAAAGGGTCACTGCGGAACTGAAAGAGTAAAAGGAGTTTTTATAGATTTTTTTCTTCAAAAGAACATAGGATCCGAGAAAAACAAAATAGAAACACAGAACATAGGTCTCTATATTCCCATTTAAGCAATGCATCAAAACTTTTATTGAAGACAGTGCCTACTGTCAAAAAATAGATTTACAGCTTTTCAGAGCACTGTGCAAAATACTGTGAATATCAAGAGGTATAAAGACACAGTTCCTCCTCACCAACTTAGTTTATAAGCAAGTAACAAAAATGAACAAATTGCTTAACATACAAAGCAATATACAAGCCATCCAATGAAAGAGCTTCCAAGGAGCCCACGTAGCCCATCCTTGTAGCAGATGCTGTGTTTTATTTCACTGGTTAACACATGTGAACAGAGCAAAGGATCTATTGTTTGATGTCATTAGAAACGTGAGGCACTACCAACTGTCAACCTTGCAGCTTGGATCAACTTGTCACTGTCATCGTAGTCAAATGTACTAATGTATTTGGGCTCCTACAGTTCGACTCATTCAGTTTACACCATTTAACTAGGTTGCTAGGAAGGAACAGAACAGGAAGGAAACTTACAAGAGGAAAGCCTCTAAAGATATCTAACTCAGCTACAATTTTCATGAAGTAGGGCCTCTAAATCAGTAGGTTCTCAGCTTGACAGTATGCACAAAAATCACGCTAAGACTTTCTTGGAAAACGCAGATTACAAGGTCTCCCAGACCCCGAGACAGACGCAGCAGGTCTAAAGTGGACTTGGGAAGCCATGTACCTAAGAGGCACTTTGGCAGTGGCTTACCACACAGAGGACCACATGCGAAATTCTGCTCCATGTCCCACCACATTCGGCCATTAAGCAGCCCCTTAATCTGCTCATCTACGAATTTCTCACATGGCTAACTTTAAAAGACAGGTCCCCGAAACCAGCCACATGAAAGGCACAGATGAGAAGTACAAGAGGATTGCAAAGCAGGAGACAAAGGCTGGGCGTGGGAGCGCACACCTGTAGTCCCAATACTCGAGAGGCTGAGGCAGGAGGACTGCCTTGATTCAAGACTAGCCTGGGCTATAGGGGGAGACAATATCTCAGGGGGGAAAAAAAAGGAGAAGATAAGAAGGACACAGAGCTAGTGTAACTGGGACGGGCCTGATTGCCAAGAAATGACAGGTTAGTACTGTCATAAGAGAATTCAGCAATCTAATATACAGGGTAATTGCCATTTGTATCATTTATTCAACTGCTTAGTCTACTGTGTATCCACTCAATCTCCTAAGTATATATTTGGTACCTAAATATTGAAGATCAGTCACATCAAACTATGATATGACACTATTTGCTAGAGAAAATGAGTAAATGAAAAATTACTGACCCAGCAAAGTTCTACCTGGAGGAAAAAAGCAAACATCAGCTTCACTTAATCATAATCTATAGCGGAAAATGATAAAGGGGTGTTCACATTTTGTTTTAAAATCTAGAGTAAGCTGAGTACAGTGGTGCAAGCCTGTAGTTCCAGATACTTGGGAGCCTGAGACACAAGGACCACCTGAGCCCAGAAGTTCAGGGACAGTCTGGACAACATCACAAGGGGGGAAAAGTTCAGACTATTCTTTGAATCAATAACCTAGGAATATGCACTCCAACGTAATAACACTTCTGGCCCATACACTGGTG